ACCATCCACCTTACTCACCAGATCTAGCCCCAAGCGACTTCTTTTTGTTCCCTCATCTAAAAATTGCGCTCGGAGGACAGAGATTTTCGTCAAATGAAGAGGCAATCACCTTCGTGAACAATTATTTTGCAGAGAAAAACGCCGAGTACTATTTCGACGGGTTACAGAGATGGGAGCATCGCTGGGAGAAGTGTGTAGATTTACAAGGAGACTATGTTGAAAAATAAAAAACAATTTTCAGAAAAAATGACTTGTATCTTTGTTAGGTCGGAAACTTTTCAGACCACCCTCGTATTACTTTATACATGCATCGATTACAAACATATTCTCTATGAGTACTAAGACAACTGACAGTTTTTCAAAATACCGCGATATCCATTCGGACGCATGTCGCCATTGCACTATTTTCTTTGTTTCATAAATAAAAAGGTGGCGAAGTAAGACAAAGCAGTTGGCAGCACCTTAAAATCAAATTGCAGCATCATATATACAGATATACAGTGCGTCGTATCTGATGATGACATATACTGTTCCGCAAAATGATACAGGGACTTTTTGTTCAGTTTGACTTAATTTACATAACTTAATTTACAAGGAAATGAATGCATGTTATTAGCTATCTTGTATAACGTTTTATTGTGTGACGTGAACGTACTCTGCTGCACATAATCATTGACATATCGTACAGCGTGTCTGCGATCATGGTTAGGAATATGTACGTTACGTTGAAGTTATACATATTTCATCAATCAACGCGGAGCGTCGTCTCTGCGTTGGGCAGGTTGTATCAAAAGAATTGGTAATGGGATCAAGTAACAAGTAACATTTATGAAGGTAGCTATTTATAGCTATTTATAGTTATTTTTCTGTATTATGAATAAATTGCAGCAAAATATTAAATTAATAATATGGTTTATCGGAAAGGCCTCTTCGGATGCGCCTCTCGAAAGGAGGATATTTCATCGGTCAAGATGCATATGACTGCGCATAGTAACACAGTTCGTCATAGAATTGTGACTGCGTAAAAAAGAAATATAAGAGCACTTGAGCATAATTTGTTGAAGAATTTCTTCTTCCGCGACTAAATGATTCTCGTCTCGTCCTCAATACGCTGAGAAAATGATCCGTCTCAAGAAAAGGACAGGAAGAGGAACGCAAAAGTAAGAATAAATTTTTATAGCAAAATAAGGTCTCGTTCTTTCACATCGTTCCTATTTGATTCCCTTGGAAAGGAAGCGTCATAAATAAAGATACTTGTATTTCTGATACATATGAGACATTTTATTGTAATAACTGCAAACGTGTTTCTTGAGCAATGATGACTTTTCAAAGTATTATAATAATATATTATATATAAGAATATATAATATATTATATATAATATATTATATTAATATAATATAAAAATTCTGTTCTTAAACTGCGATTGAAATGGCCATAAGCCAGTCATCGAGCAAGTTAGTTTCACTACGTAATAGTAACGCGTATTGAACAACGCAGTCATGTTAATTAGCGAACGTATCGATAATTTCTAACAAGACTGCGAGAGAAGAATTGGTGAGACGAGAAAGAAGGCTACAATGCGGCAAGCGATAGTAAATATTTTTATCCGTTATTTTAACATAGACTGTCCTTCACAAGCATGCAACACTGTAACTTCTAAGATGTAAATTTTTCATGTCGAAACGAGTCGTGAAAACGCGGACTTACAAATAAGCAAATAGTAGTAAAAAATTACACATAGAGGGTGCATATATAATGCAATGAGGGGAAGATAGAATACAATATGCTACTATTGAGACCCTCTATGCATCCAAACTTTTTACACAAGAATAAAATTGAAGATAGGTAGATATTTCTATAATAATAGTACAAAGTACAGACACTAGATGTTGTGATCAGGCACGCGAGAGCCTGCACAGTACTGTTTTCGCCTTCTCAGTATCAAAGAAGTCCTCACCGGTTGCACAGTTAGAATGGTAGAGTATAATTTATCGATCGGCCGAACGCGCCAGGAAACGAAGAGGTAGGTGAGAGAACTTGCGAATACAAGTTGCGTGAAATTGTAAACAAAGGTTAGGTATATAAAGCAATTAACATGGATATCGGATAAATGTCTTATTGATAATTATTACTTGTCCAAAGATATTACTATTACTCATTCCAAAGGAATAAAACATCAATTGTATTAACAGAAAATATATACGGACATTTACCGAAAAGAGACTAACACCGCAAAATACGACATTGACGTCTGCACTGTCTAAATAAAACGAGAAAATTTTTAATACATATTATTTCAATGTAACATTAATAACAAATGAATATCGAGTATTCATACCTTACAAAAGTTTTCAAGTGACATTACAAACATTTTTCCAGCCATTATCTTGCATGGTAAACGGCTCCTCATTAAAATCAGTATAATATCCTTTTGTATCTTGGCATGCATATTGTACCAAGAACATGAATACCTGCAAAACTGTTATTTTTACTACATCTCACACATATATAAACGCAACGTCTGCGATTGACAAGCGCATATTCATTCACTCACGCCCATTCGTGAACGTCCAGACTGTGGTCGAATATATATTGCGCCATTAAACTGAGGAAAAATACGTTTATCAATTCGCCAGTTATGTACATGATTACTATCGCCATCTCGGCCCATTGAAACAATTTGCTCACCAACTAAATAAGGAGAGAAAATATCAAATACCTACAAGTAAAATTTTCTTATCCGTTCGTATTTACCTGAACTGCCGAAATACTTAAGATGATTAAGATTACACCTGCCACAATAAAAAGATTCCACGTGTAAATGTGGCATAATAATTGCGCGCATCTAATTAATAAGAAGATATATAAGATATTTGAATGATTTCAAAATAATCGTAAGCATGTGATAGTATGAAATCATAATAATAAATGCTGATAGCATAGTGATAGTAATAAATGCTTTTTATAATTCCATCAAAATTACAAGATATGTACAGAATGTGTACAAAAGGTAAAGTTAAACTGGGAGATGAAAAGAACGTTTGAGTAGAGTTCATAATATATATAAACTTATTTTGTACTCGCTATAATTTAGTAAATGCAGCATAGATATAGAGAAAATGTTGAAACCTCTATTTCGAAAAATGTATATATTCGAAAGAAAATATATACTAAAGTTATAGGATTTTGAATAACGTGTTACGCGTAACGAAATTAATATGACTTTAAATAACGTTATTAAAACCTTTAATACCAAAACTTTCAAGGTTCACAACTCGAAAAACACTTGACGAAGAAAAATTTTACTCGTATGTTATAAAAAATCTTCAAGGATAAAAAACTATAAGAATATATAATAAAAGATGAAAATCCTTCCCCGCGTTTTAAAAATTTCAGTGTATTCCTTACGTGAGCTTAACGTTATTCAAGGTTATACTAATTTTATTACGTGTAACGTTTAAAATCCTATAACTTTTGTATAAAATTTTTTTTTCGAAGATGTGTATTTTTTAATGTATTAAAAGGGCACGACACTTTCTATCATTCCTATAAAATCTTGTATTTAACGATAATGAATAATAAAAATTTGTGTACATTACATATTTTGTTCAAGCTTCTTTTTCATTTGCTAGTTGACTGTTTTGACACACTTTCAGTGTATGTGTGTGCGTTTGTATGTATAAATATGCATATAATACTGTACGAATATATTGTATATATAAATACAATATACTAACTCTATTGCTTTTTTGTGACTAAGAACGCATTGTTTTATAACAATAGCTTGCTTTTGTAATTCCAATTGCCGCTCTTCGCAACGCTGGGTGTACTTTTTGTTATAATCATGATTGTTGAAAGCTCGCGCTGTATTTTTTCTTATCAAATGGTTTATTTGTACTAATCTGTGTCTGCAAATTAAAATTATAATATTATCCTATACGCGTGTGCAAATATTCCATATGTTATAGATCATTTTTAAAAAATATATTTGATGAAATATTATCTGACGTGAGAGTGAGAGAGTGAGAGAGAGAGAGAAAGATAGTATGTGTGAAAAAAAGAGGGAGAGAAAGAAAAGAGAGACAGAGAGAGAAAAAAGAGAGAGATACTAACCTTACTATCGCAAACATGTAACAGCCATGAAACATTAACGTAACATACATTGCATCCGCAGCAAGCACATTTAATGTGATAAATCCTCCAGCTGTACTACTGTGCAACCAGATCCAAAACCAATAAGTCTCTTGATCAATTCCATAATCCAATTCGAAGCCTAAATATCTCATGCGCGTTTCGTTACGAGGTAAAACAATATCCATTATTGGCGAAATTATCGGCGCCATCGTCAAACATATAGTGACGTTAAAATAAACTGCTAAAAAATAGAGGTAACGTTATAGAGGTAATGTTCGCTAAATTTAATAACATTTCTCATACCTGCGATTACCATACTAAATTCTCCTGCCTTTGATGCATAATTCTTTAGAATCTTATTCTCTTCTCTCCTCGATGTTGCATCCCACTCCGTTTTAATCTGACATAACAACGACCTAATCTTGTGTAGGAAACGCACGATATATATATATGTGTATATATATATATATATATATATATATATATATATATATATATATATATATATATATATATATATATATATATATATATATATATATATATATATATATATATATATATATATATATATATATATATATATATATATATATATATATATATATATATATATATATATATATATATATATATATATATATATATATATATATATATATATATATATATATATATATATGTGTGTGTGTGTGTAAAGAATGTAGAACGTATATACATATATACATGCACGGAACATTCTATGTGCCTCTTTGCGGTTGCAGATGTACATTGTATGTACATATCACATATTATGTACCCCAAGTGTACGTACATAGGATATGCAATATACATAAATGTTTATATATGGAATATGCTATGTATATTCTAACGTTATGTGGGATATATATATTCATATATATTTTAAATCATAATATTTCCTGGTATACTGGAAGATTAAATAACGCGAAAGAAGTAATAATGCAAGTAATACCTCTGATTGAAATCGATCAATGACCATGTTTCTTAGTATAGTCCCTATGATGGTAAGGAATGGTGGTATACACATACATACAGCGTCTATATCCTTACCCAACACGTGATACAGTCTTTTCAACTGAATTGAAACAAATGATAAAATTTATGTATAATTGATACAACTTAGTACATAATTGACCTTGACGAACGCACAATTAAACAAAATTTTGTTTCGTGCACCTTTTTTGCAGATATATACGAGTATATATCTCGTATATAAACATGTCTTGATATATCTCATGTCTAATCGAGGAATATAAATTAAAGAACTATGTAGAAAAATTTATATTCCTCCAATAAGAGAAGATGTGCAATATCTTTACCTGTGGTAGAAATAATGAGATCAGTAAGAAAAAATTGAGCAGCTGAAGAATTCTTCTCCTCAACTGCGATTGATATGGCCATAGACCTGTTATCGAGCAAGCTAGTTTCATTATATAATAATAACGTGTATTAAACAACGCAGTCATGTTAAGTAGCGAACGTACCGAAAATTTCTAACAAGACTGCGAGAGAGAAATTCGTAAAACGAGAAACAAGATGACAATGTAGGAAACGATAGTAAAACAGTCTTATACTCGTTATTTAGACAAAGACTCTACTTAACAAACGTGCACAATTGCAATATCCAAGGTATAAATTTTTCATGCTGCAAAAGTTCGTGAAAACGCGAAGTTATAGCTACGTAAAAAAATCCACATGGAGGGTAAATATATTATAAGTGAAAGGGAGAGATAGAATATAAAATGTATCATTATTGAGATTTTCTACACATCTATATTTTTTTACACGAGTAGAATTAGAAATCTAAAATTATAGGATAAAAATAAAGACGTCACATGTTGTGATTGACATGGGCGCCGAGCTGGCAGGAACTCGCGTGGCACTTCGCCTTCCTTGGTATCAAGGGTCGAAGCCCTCACCGGCTGCTCAGTCTTGTTAGAATGTTGATAAGGAGGATAAGGGGGGTAAGATAGAATGGTGTTTAAGAAAGTGAGGAAGCGGGTGAGAGAACGTGCGAACACCAATGTTAAACTGTAGCCAACGACTTTACTGTTTTTTTTTACGTTGCACCGGATACGTGGTGTAAGCTCACTCGGCGCTTTCGTGAATAAATTTCTGCAATTTTCAAAATCCCGATACATGATAGATGCAACATAAAGTGATATAAAATAATAATTAAATTAACTTATCCGTAATGATTTTTCCGAACACATTTACGATCCTGTGCAAAATCCTCTATCTCTTTTTTCCGTCATCTGTCTATTTTCCAGATAAAGTCACGTATTTCATCAATTGATTCAAAATCGGTAATTTAGGTGATTCGATATATGGTGTGTTCTGTATTCACAACGAATACATTTTCCAAAAAGAACTGCAGGTAAAGTCTGTAAAAAATTTGTATTTTATAATTCAGTTTATCTGTTATAGAATAAAAAAATATATTTATCTATTATAGAATTTTATATATATATATATATATATATATATATATATAGAGAGAGAGAGAGAGAGAGAGAGAGAGAGAGAAAGAGAGAGAAAACACTGCTCTTAAGAAAAATATCTCATGCCTGTTACATATTTATCATGATTTATGTTTGTTTTATACATATCTTCTTTTTGTTTTTTTAGGTAATTAAAATTACAGTATATATTACATACTTCAAACATTATTACTATATGATTTGCACGTTATTTAGCTACTGTGCAAAATAAGCTAGTCGAAACTGTATCGCGTATGTTAGTGTATGAATTTTAATCAATTTTTTTTAGTGTATGCGATTTTCTCACCAATGTTTTTCAACCATGTGTCATACCTCTCTTTCGCTGTTTTTTCGATTCTTCTTTCGATCTTTTTTTTTTATATTTAATAACGCTAGCGCAACACAATACATTCTTTATTCATAATATTTATGCAGATCAATGTTGTGAGAAGTATTGTTAAAGCTTCGGTGGCTAAATTGGTTATGGCGCCCTACTCAACAAGTATGGGAGATCCAGGTTTGATTCCTGGCTGAGGCCTAATATTTTTCACAACGTCATTTTTAATTTGTAATAGTCAAGGAAAGAAAGAGATATTTGACTTAAAAATTAACAAAATGGAGGATCGATAAGACGATAAAACTCATCTTAGTCTTATCCTTCTGTAAGAAATTAATTAAAATATATATATTAACATTCGGTTAATTTGTTTATCTTATAACATATTACAATTATCCCAATTGTGAAACTAGCAATTAATAATACCAATATACAGAATATCTAATACTCTCTTAAAATGAATGAATGAGTGGAACATCACTGAAAGCAATAAATATACACTGAGTTACAGCTATAAATATAGCACCGAAACTGCACAGTACTATACTTATAACTGATATCAGTGACTATTCACTGATTCACTTTAAAAGAGTACAGATACAGGCTTTTGGTTCGACTTACAGAATTCTTCTTTTGGAACAATGTTTGGAACAACTAGATCAGTCTAAAGCAATAAGAAAATATTCAATTTTTTAAAGAAAAAGAAGCCAGCTAAAAAATAATTTCTTCGTTTTGTTGAAGAACTGTTTGGAATAAAATAATATTGCTTTGTGTGATACAAGATTAGAACAGCCGAGAACAACTTTCAAAATTATAATTTTCAAAAAAGAAGGGAATCTAACTACATTTTCGATAAAAGATAAATCGACCAAAAACAAATCGATTGCGATTTTACTTGATTTTATTAGACTTTCTCTACATTCCTCACGTAACAAGATGCTCTCCATACCAATTCTTAGAACTAGTTCACACGATCTATATATCGTAAATCTATAAACCGTAAATTCATCCTGTCCGAACAAACACACATGCATTCTGTTAACTGCGCTTTCTATAGACGTCACGAGTACAGCAATGTATTGTCACGAGGCAATGCATTCCGCGTTTGTAGAACCCCAACTCGACCGCGTACATAAACGCACAATAGATGACAAAGAGAAATTATTACTTGCTAGGTATTCACATTATTTGGTATCCTTGCGTCCTGAGTCACAGAAAACTTGCGCTTATGAAAAAATAATGTGACTTTAAAAGAAAATAGTAAACACAATTTAACTCAAACAATATCGCATATTTATTAAAAAGTTTATACGGCAGAAATTGTCCTAAAAATAATACTATTAAAATGAAGAAGACAGCGCACAAATATTTATTTACTATTAACATGCCAATCTCTTAATTAATATTATGAGTTAATGTTTAGTTGAGAGCTATGTATGTGATCGCTATTATGGATTGATGATTTAAATTAATTAAGTATGTAATGATTGATTAGTAATTATGAGAATTAGTTAATCTGCAGACAGAAAGTCGCATACATATTTATAGGAAATAACAATCATAAACGGAGGACTGTCATTAAGACAGAAGTACACTGAGAGAAAAATTATATTAAAAATAATAAATTTTTTTTTTATGGGTGCCATTAACATATTTACTTATAAATCTACATTCTCTTTATTTAAACCAAATATTATTTACTTAAATCAGGTAAACAATATTTAAATAAAGAGAATGTAGATTTAAGTAAATATGTTAATGGCACCCATCAAAGAAATGTTGTTGATTTTAATATAATTTTTCTCTCAATGTAGATCTATGCAAAGTTGGTTTTATTCGTAATCAGTAATGCGATATACACGCCACAATACAAATAGTACAGCATAGCTATTTTATGCTTCATGGCTCGTAGTAAATAAATTTCACAATACTCAGGATGTTTTATATATAACGAAGGCAGGTCATTTTAAATAACTGAACATGCAACTTTATAACTCGAGAATGTTATCGTACAACAGTGAATGTCGCACTATGTACCTTATATCGTAACAGAATATTATACTTCCGCGCCCTTTCGTCACTTCTTCCGTTCACGATAAGGCCTTGTGTCAATTGACAAGCGCGAAAAACAGTACTCACTGTTGCACGTATCGCGCCAACTTATTGAACTCGCAAATCGCTCAAACGGCGAGAGGCTACGCTGTCGTGAGGAAAGAGTTAATTAATTATGTATCCATGTCGCCATGAGAGGAAGAGAGAAGAGCGACAAGAAGAGTTGCAGGGCGCGGGCGAATAATTGCGCAATTATGCCGCAATGGCATAATTACGATCGCGCTGTGACACAAGGAATCGTTAATAACGGTGTTCGCGTGCTTTGCCACAAAGTGCAAGCGAGCATCTTAACGACGAGAAATCGTCGATAGTTCGTAATCGTGGCTTTCTTGAATATGACCAGACAAGAAGACATTTGGGGAAGCCGATATTACACGATTCCCAAGTTCTACATGACTTTAGCGGGATTATGGCCGTATCATACGTTTCGCGACAGATGTCTACATTTTGTACCGGTGTTTACGATCTGTTCGATAATCCTTATACCTCAGGTATACACTCAGCTTGCCCAAAGTAACGATATATTCTATAAGAGTCTATAAGAGAGTCTATAAGAAAACGCAGCTTCCTTTCAAAAATATCACTCTATTTACAATTTTGCAGCACTCGACCTGCCCGCGTTTTAACCGATTTTTCCTACGCAAAAATAAACATATTTCTACTCTTACGTGTCGTAAATATTCCAAAATTCACAGCTCCTAGCCATCGAGAATATACTAATTCGTATTATTATAGCAATATTCTGTAACATTGATTTTAATGCAGCTGATGTACGTGCTGATCGCTCTGACGGATCTCGATGATCTGTTCGAGTGTATACCGACGATACTGATCACGATAATATTCAGCTTCAAATTGGCGAGTTTAATGGCAAACAATGACAAAGTAAGTAACGCAAATACAGGGTGATCGGAAACAATCGCATTCGGTTAATATTCTCGTATTTTTGAACGAATTCTAAGACTATTTTTCCTCTTGCAAAATGTTATCCGAGGCTTAGTTGCTGAGGTATAAAGAGAAATAGTTAGCCACTCACAGGCCAGATACAGAAAGTAGACAGGGGCGGCACAATTCACCGTTAGACAGACGTTGGGCAATACTCATACATTTTAGTTTGTAAATTTTCAATGCTTGCGTTAATGTGGTTGTACACAATAATAAATAAATTATTTCAACTTAGTTGAATATGATTATAACATAAGTATGATTAATGTTTCGTTCTTCTCGTGCTTATTTTTAAGGTTTTTCATATTTGTAAAGTTTATATTGCACTTAGGTCAAGTCGCGTGCGCGAATGCAATCGACTATTTCACCCTTACATGTTATGTTATAATCATATTTCAACTAAGTTAAAATAATTTATTTACTATTGTGTACAGTCACATTGACACAAATATTGAAAATTTACAAACTAAGATGTATGAATATTGTCACATGTGTATTGCCCAACGTCTGTGTCTGACGGTGAATTGTGCCGCCCCTGTCTACTTTCTGTATCTGGCCTGTGAGTGGCTAACTATTTCTCTTTATACCTCAGCAACTAAGCCTCGGATAACATTTTGCAAGAGGAAAAATAGTCTTAGAATTCACTCAAAAATACGAGAATATTAACCGAATGCGATTGTTTCCTCTGATCACCCTGTATATTATATTGTGCGATTAGCATTACTTAATAAAACTCCTTCGACTACCAGTCTAAATGCCGTCGACACCATGAAATTTTCGCGATATATTTATAATTAGCACACGTTTGCAGATAAATTCTTGCCTCAAAACAATCGAGAATGACTGGTTGTCGCTAAGCAGCAACGAAAAGACCATTCTACAACGACGAACTGCATACGGACGATACCTGACGATATTCTACGCGGGTACGTCACGTCGAAAAATCATAAAAGAAGTTTCGCGGAATCTCGAGAAAATCTTTATATGAAGTCCTACGTGTTTGTGTATCATAATTGAAGTGTAAAATTCACGTAATTTTGTAGGCTTCATGCAACTAACGGGTTTCCTCTACATGCTCAAGTCGATTGTGTTGATACTGATAGAGGAGACTTCGAACTCGACCCAATTGGCCGTATCGAAGCTACCTTTCCGTGTAGAATATGGCCAGAGAATCAACCAGCATTTCTATCCGATATTGGTCCACAGTTATTTAACGACATTCTCTCACGTGACCGCCACAGTCGCGGCAGATACTTTGTACTTCACCTTGATCCAGCACGCCTGCGGAATGTTCTTAGTTGTCGGGTGAGAATTTGATGATTAGGAATGACATCTTGGAAACTCAAGTTGCTCGGAAAGTCCGTGCAAACTTCGAGAAATGGACCGCCGAGAAACTTTGAAAGACGTTTCACAGAAGGATATTCTATTTCTATCTCTTAAGTTAAAAAAGGGAGAGAAGAAAAAAACGTAGTTTGTGCGAATTTTCCGACCAGCTCATTGAAATAATAGGTGAACGTTATCATTTTAGCCGTTTCCAGACACTCGCTGGAGGACATTGGCAAAGATAACAACAGTGATTTCAATCTGAAGCCCAAGAAAATAGAAGATGTCGATTACAAAAAGGCGTTTGGTTGCCTGCGTAGGCACCTTCATGTGATAGAGTGCGTGTGCACGCGTGTGTATTAATATTAGAGATGTACGAATCAAAGATTTTTTATGTCGAATCGAATTGAATCTCAGATTTTAATTTCTAATTCGAATCAAATCGAATCGATGAAATTTCACCCGAATCGAATCGAATCATTGAAAAAAATTTTTAATTAACATAATCAATTCAACATGAAAATAGTGACTACAATATGAGAAAGATAACATTATATATATATATATATATATATATATATATATATATACATGTACATATAATATAGATATATAATATATAGTCAATAAACGTGTATGGAATACAGTTCCAGCCTTGAAAGCGCAACTACAAATATCGATCCGACAGTTGTCGGTAAGAGTTTGCGTAAAAGCCATTATCTTCTTTTAATATTTTTGAAGAAAATCTTAATGTATGAAAATGTAAACTTTTCAAGTCATACTAATTCCTATAAGGCTGGATGTCTTTAATAGTACTTCGTTAATGTTAATGTGTGCGATTCGTATTCGAAACTTTTCAATTTGAAATTTTCGAATTATTCGGATTCGAATCATAGGGATTCGAAATTGAGTCGAATCGAATTTCACTTGATTTGATTCGATTCAAATTCGAATAGTTCGCACATCTCCAGTTAATACCACGTGTCTGTTTTAAAGGATACATATTTCCGTTATATATTCGTGTATTTCTCAATATTATTCATGACCACGCTCGGTTTCGTAAATTCGCAGATTCGCGGAGCTGATCGAGTCCACATTCACGAACATCTTTCTCGTCAGCATAAGTTTAAATATGATTGGCGGCAGTATATGCGGCATACAGGTATCTCTCGATTTTATTATGAAAATCTGGCGTTGCCAATCGATAATTAAATCATCAGTTTTAGTGAGCGTTCGAACAAAGATGGATGTTCGCTAATCTCCGTCGAGAGTTATTTGCAATTCACTAATTGAGAATTTAAGATAGGAGATATGGCAAACGTGTGTTTTAGGTGCTGATGAACTTGAACGATGCAAAAGATATAGTGGCACCCCTTGCTATATACATCGCTCAACTCACCCATCTGTTCTTCCAGTTCTGGCAAGCCCAATTTCTGTTGGATTACAGCGTCGTTCCATACGAGTCGATGTAAGATATTTTTCTGAACTAACTTAACTGCTTTTGTTTAACATTCTCTTTCTCATTCTCTCACACTGTTCCCTTCTCTGGTATATCGACACAAAGTTAAGGTATAATGACTGCGAATGCAAAAAGTCGGATAGCTTTTTACTTTCGTAATTACTTACATTAATCACGATTTGAATAGTTGCAGAGCCAATTGGTATTCCACATCGAAAAGGTGTAGAAAACTTTTACTCTTAATCATGAACAGGACTGTTTCACCATGCAAAATAACCGCCGGCAAGATTGTGACATTATCCATCGAAAGCTTTGGAATTGTGAGCAAAACTGCATCATTTGTTACGTTTCACACTTGCTGTACATCGTTTTCCTAAAAGCAAATTCAATAATAACTATTGTTTATTCTCCAAAGGTCCTAAAGACATCAATGTCTTATTTCACGATGCTGCGTTCCTTCCACTAACGATTTCGACATGTCAGTGAAAACGCATAACTGAGCTTATTGTAAAATTCGAAAATAATTGTTAACAAAATTCAAAACAATATGATTCAATGTAAGATAATTGATTGACATTGAAATTTCGAATAAATATATATAACCTTATCGTTTTGTATCCATTACTTCCAGTAGAATATGATACACCCATTTCATATAACGTCACATTTGTTACTTCATTCATAGTTTACCGTTTGTGATTATTTCCAAGACACGATTGGGCCATTGGACGGAATTAAAACGAACTTCACCGAAGAAGACATTCTCTCTCTGCAAAAGAAGGCGATATTACCGCAACTATCGCATTGTGCGATTGTGAGTAAAAGCGGTACCAATGCGGTAAGGAAACAACGAAGTACAGCGTATACTGTGTTATCGCAAATTACTTAATGGCTCACTTAACCAATGCGCTGTTACTACACATGAATACTCACTTCGAGAAACAGAGTTGAAAAGGGTGGGATAATAGCGGGGAACTAGAGAAAGAGAATTGTAAACGTAGCATACTGTGCTGGTTGCGTTCAACACCGCTGCTTGATAAACTAACAAGCGAGACTAAAGAAAGAGAATTAATAATAGCGTACTTTACGAAGACATGATTACGGTAATCCACAACGCAAAACGGGAAACTGGTAATAATGTTTCTATAGCTGCGCTGCACAATAAGTATCCGCAAGGGATCCTTAATAGTCTGTAATCTTTAGCCTATATCTGGAACTTTTGTCGCTAAAAGCGCTTCTAAAAGTGGCTTATAAGACTTTTGATTGGCTATAAGTCACTTTTAAGGCCGCCTTTAGTAGTGAAAGGGAGTTCAGAATAGAAGCCTTAGTATTTCCAACAATGTGCGCGCAAAAGAACATTTGGCAGAACCGATATTACGCGATACCTAGAATATACATGGCAATAGTAGGAATATGGCCGTACAACAATGTCCGAAATAGATATCTAAATTTTGCACTGTCATTTTCGTTCTCTTTCAGTATCTTTGTGCCGCAGGTATATGTATCGTAGTGCGATAATAATCTAATGCGAAATAATAATCTAATAATCTTCAGCTACTTGCAATCGCAATATACATCAACGTACATATCTTATGTAACTAATTTTAAGGTAACATACTTCCTGGCTGACTCGATCAGTGTCACCGATATATTCCAATGCGTACCATCGATAGCTATCACTGTATTATTTAGCTTTAAAATATTCAGCTTAATGCTAAATACTAAAAAGGCAAGTAATATTCATATTTGACGATATAATTAAAATTAAGTTATTAGGTGAATAGAATCTCAGCGTGAGGGCAGTTTTTTAGAGAAACGATAATGCATACACTGAGAAAAAAATTATATTAACATCAACAAATATTTCCTTGATGGGTATCATTTACATATTTACTTAAATCTACATTCTCTTTATTTAAACCAGATATTGCTTATTTAAATCAGGTAAACAATATTTGATTTAAATAAAGAGAATGTAGATTTAAGTAAATATGTTAATGGCAATTATCAAGGAAATATTTGTTGATATTAATATAATTTTTCTCACAGTGTATGTATGTTTATAGATAAAAGCTTGTCTGAAAACGGTAGAGGAAGACTGGCTGTCACTGCAATCGGATATCGAGAAGACTATTCTTCAACAACGCACCGAATATGGGCAACGTGTAACGACGTTTTACGCAAGTATGTTAAAAGAGCCCAAAACATTCAGGAAAATAAAAATATTGCAAAAATCGAGAATTAATTTCTCATCTTTTTCACTTCGTACTGTATCCCTTTAAGAACATTTCAAAGGTATGACGAGGCCATATATATGGCAACTTCTCTGAAATTCACGGCAAATTGTACGTTGTAATTTTTAGTTTTTATGCTGACAACGGCATTTTTCTACTTGCTTAAACCAGTTCTGATGACACTGTTAGAAGATGAAAATTTCTTGAACGTGACAAAATCATCCATATCGGTGGCATCGAAACTACCTTTTCACGTTGAATATAACGAGAAATTGGACCAGCACATCTACCTGATAATGATGCATTGTTATCTCGCCGTGTTTGCTCATGTATTTGTTACAACCGCGGTTGATACCTTATATTATGCTTTGATTCAGCACGCCTGCGGAATGTTCGCGATTATTGGGTAAAAGTATTACATTCAACGATGCGCTAGGGAGATCGCTTAAAGTAACAATGCTACTTTCTTTTAATGCACTCTATTTTTGCTTTGATCTCGTAATCCAGAGAATCTAATTTGTGAAAATATTGACGTACCCGTGACTTTCAGACACATGCTCGAAAATATTGGTAAGGACAATGACGCTAATTTTCATTTCAAACCAAGTAAACAAAGAGACGACAATTATATCAAAGCCTTGAGCTGCTTACGTAGGCATCTTCACGTAATAGAGTACGTCGTTTTGTTTCATCAATTACTATTATATATTTC